TTTATTAAAACTGTTCATGGTTTGGACAGTTAATTTTATTTTATCCAAGTTCAGATGTTGTTTTTATTATTCAAAAACTCAGATCTTTCGGCCATTCCATTGTATTATATGTCACCAAAGATTCCAAAATCAGTGATGCAAAGGATGGAAAGACTTGGAAGTGGATTCTTGTGGGGCAGTTTCGATGGAAGTAAGATATTAGCTCAAGTTGTAATAAGGTGCGTGACACACAGTCGTAATTGTAAAATAAAATATTTTTAGTTCTTAAAATAAATTATGGAAAATAAGTGGACCAAGGAGTTTCCAATATTGAATTGTCTTGATTCAACGATTAAAATAAAGAAAGTGGATTTTGAATAAAAAAAAGAGAAAATCTAAAAATGATGAAAACAAAAGTAATGTCCCGATTTCTATTTTATTTTGTTATTTATTTTATTTTTATTATTTTATGAGATTGGTGATTACATATACAAGTGTTGGTATTGTTTAGAGTATATATATATATATATATAAGGCTACATAATTATAAATAAATATTATAAATACTAAATATAAACTAATATTAAATTTGTTACATATAAAATAAATACTAATGCTTATTTTATTTATTGCAGATCAGTGCTACAAGACCCAATACAATACAAGACAACCCACATTACAAGCCCAGCCAACCTAAAATTAGGACATGGTTACCTAAAAAAAAATGGTCTCTTAATTATGTATCTTAATTACATCAAATTAATTATGTATCTTAATTACATAAAATTAATTGTTTTCCTTTTTAGTTTTCTTTTAACCTTCCGGATAATCTTTTGTTTGTTTTTTAATTATTAAAAAATTTAATTTTCCATTATTTTTTACCATTTCCTTTCTTTTCACTTCCATTTTATTTTATTTTTATTTTTAATTTATGAAAGGTTAAAACACGTCACTTATTTATGTTTCTTTTTCATATATATTGTGTGTACAATTCATATTTACTTATAACATTAATTTTATTTATTTTTATGTGTTTTTTATATTGGTATAGGTGACCCTTTTGCTTTATTTTTACAGATTAGACTATTTTTATTATAAACCCTTAATTTATTTTATTTTACAATAATCAATCCTCAAAGGTAAGCAATTTGGATTAATATTTAAATTTTCATCTAAACTTCAATTTTCGTAATTAAGACAACCGGATAATTGTGTTGATACCAAAAGACCAATACGGGATTAATCCTTCATCGATTGTAACTGACTCCCGAATTCAACATTTCTCTGGTAAGATGCGAATCCAGTAAAATGGTAAGTTTAAGTTGTCCGATCTACCTAATTCGAAAACAATCAGTGGCGAGACTCCATCACATCAATTCCAAGTCGACACGATAACCCGGGACCACCCGAATGACCGTTGGGACAATAAGAGCAAGTAAGAGCTGAAGATGAGTTACCTTCATTCGATGTGTTTCCTCCAACAGTCACCTTGAGAAAAGTTTTGTCAAAACGGTAGCATCGATCCACCAAATAACCGTTATTACACATTGAACACGAGCTCGACCCTTGCCACGACCACCCTAAGCGTTTTGGAATCGAGCTCCACGTGACCCAAGAGGCTTAGATGACGGCGGAGTGGATGACTCATCATTGGCCTTGGAGTGAGCAAGATTGGCACTAATGGACAGACCATCAAATTGCTCAAAGCTTTTCTGTTTAATTTCAGGATCGAGCAGCATGGAAATAACGCCCTCCAAGGATGCAGACTCGCGACTGGTAGTGATCACCATAACAAACGGCTTATACTCTACTGGTAACTCGTTCAAAATTGTAACAATATGCTCACACTCGGAGACTGGATTACCATACGATGCCAGCGCATCGTAGATCTCCTTGACCTGAAAGACATACGCTCGCATACTCTTGTCACCTTTCTTGACCGCCTTTAAACGGTAATGTAAATTCATCATAGTGGTTGTGGATTTGCTCGCAAAAAACTTGTTAACGGTGCGCCAAACTTCAGCTACGGATTCAGTGCCGACAAACTGAGTTAGAAGATGAGAGCTGACAGTGGAGAGGAGCCAGGAAGCTATAATGCATTGTCTTGTGCCGAGAAGACCTCGAAGTCTTCATTCTCGGTAACCTGGCCGGTGTCAAGATTGATTGTGAGAGGAGGCGGTTGTGTAGTGCCAAACAATAGCTTCTTGAGTCTATGGCTTCGCACAGCAAGTAAAATTTGTTGTTTCCACAACAAAAAGTTGTATTCATCCAAAACGATGCTAACCTTCTTATTTGTGAAGGTTTTGGGAGCCAATATCACTGAACTGTCCATCAACACACCAACGTCACCGAAGAAACCAATACGAGGGATCAATAAGATAAGAACAGAAAAGTAGCAGCAAAAGCAAAAAAACCTCCAGAATACAAAGAGACTGATACCATGTTGACTAATAATAAATTAGGGTTCTTCATAAAAGAAAAGGGAGAAAGTATATTTTAGTGTAAAGGCTTATCTTTGATTAATGAACAATAATAGTCTTTTATAGACTTCTTTTACATGCCAATATTGTGAGCTAAACCACCCAAGGAATATGCTGGAACGTCTAACAATCTAACATTTATAACATGTCAGCAATACTACAAACAACTTGGCCACCTCATACGTCAACAATACTCCATCAAGGATATCGATATTTGATGAATGATATTAATACTCTAAGAATGAATAGCGATACTCAACGAATAATTCACCCAGATTTATTATATAAATTCATAAGATATTGATACCTCGAGAATGATATAGATACCAAAATACAAAAATAACCAAATAAAGTCTGAGAATTCACTCTAAATGGCCCTAAACTTTTCATTTGATGCCCAAATCCATCTCTAAGGATTTTGGCATTATAGCTACATCATATAGTATAATTTATGACCAATTTCAACGTAAAACATACGATCACATAATCAATTCATGCCATCAATCAAAACACAAACTAACGTTCAGTACTTATATTAAAGCGTTTCAACATTTAGTGTTAAAATCGATATAAATCTAAAGTTCAATGATTAATGATGTAGTTTACAAATGAAAAAAATATATATCTTTTAAAAGTTGGAGAAATTTAGGAAGACGTCTCGTAATTTATGTTTCTTTTACAAATCAATAAAAAGAATTTAAATCCAATAAATGTCTGGCTGCTTAATTAGCCATGAACTGTACATAAATGTACGAATTAACCAAAAGGGTAAATCCTCTAACCCATGATTTCCAAACAATCATTAGGTTGAACTAAATCAAATGGTTTCCCAACAACATTGCTACAAAATGATTGAGCAGCTTTGTTCGTGTATGTCAAATTCACGTTCTGCAATTTTATTCTTGTGCATGGAATCTTTGTACTACAATCGAATTTTATAGCTACGGGTGTCGATGATGTTCCTCTTATATCTTCATGTACGATATCTTCAATCTTTATTCCAGAAACCTATAATCATTATAAGGAAATTAGTGAATAAGTTAGAGTATAAGGAAATTGTGCGATCACTGTGCATATCATTATCTTCTAATAGTAAAAACGAGAGTTTTGTAATGCCTGACCGGGACAATTTTCGTTGCGAGGGCAATAATTCTGATCGATTACGATAGGGTTTTGAACATTTCTCATCACGGAATCCTTAGGCCTTGCCCATGATTTGATTCTCAATCCATTTTGAGTTGGAAAATATTTTCTTTTTCACTGTAACATTTTGGAACCCTTCCTCTTCCAAATCCTTTGCTAAACTTCCAATGCTGCAGAGTTCTAATTAAGCAAAACAAACCAATATCAGTAAGTGAACACATCGCTTCGCTTTTAGTATAAGTAGCTATGGAATTTGATATATCGTACCTGATGCCATGACCGGGACCGCTATTGACTTGTTCGATCCATAAATTCTTGGTGCCGGGGCCGATCGAGATGCAGTCGTCTCCGGTTTTAATGGAGCTGTTAATATCAACAAATGTGGAAATCATTAACAGCTCCATTAAAACCGGAGACGACTGCATCTCGATCGGTCCCGGCACCAAGAATTTATGGATCGAACAAGTCAATAGCGGTCCCGGTCTTGGCATCAGGTACGATTTATCAAATTCCATAGCTACTTATACTAAAAGCGAAGCGATGTGTTCACTTACTGATATTGGTTTGTTTTGCTTAATGCGAACTCTGCAGCATTGGAAATTTAGCAAAGGTTTTGGAAGAGGAAGGGGTCCAAAATGTTACAGTTAAAAAGACAATATTTTCCAACACTCAAAATTAAGCCCGTAAACGAACCCAACGTTAAGCGAACTGTTCGATGGGACATTCGTTTATTTATTAAACGAACAAACATGAATAATATTTTATGTTCGTTTAAATAAATGAAAGAACACAAATAAAGTACTCGTTCTTTTATTTACATTCGTGAACGTTGGGTAATATGTTCGTTTATATTCGTTCATTTATGCTAGTTTATATGTGTTCATTTATGTTTAGCTCAACCTCTCTAGACCCATCTAAAATATTGAAGCCCAATAAATTTTAATTTGATACCTATAAATATTTTAAAATCCAATTAATTTTAAAAAAACCCAAAAAAAATTAAATAAAATATAATACTAAAATTGTTAGGAAAGAAAAAATATATTTTCATTTATGTTTGTTTGCGTTCGTTTATATTAGTTTGTTTGCGTTCGTTTATATTCATTTATTGTGTTCATTTACGTTCGTTCGTTTGTGTTCGTTTACGTTAATTTATTGTGTTCGTTTATATTCGTTTACATCCGTTCATTTATGTTTATTCATTTGTGTTCGTTTATCATTTAAATGAACGAATACGAACAAGCTATATTCCTTAAGAAACGAACACAAACAAGAATTTTTTGCTCGTTTATGTCCGTGTTCGTTTATTTGTTCGGTTAAAGTTAAATAAACAAACATGAACATACCCAGTTCGTGTTTGTTTGGTTTGTTTACAGGCCTACTCAAAATGGGTTGAGAATCAAATCATGGGCAAGGCCGAGTAGCGGATTTGTTCAATGTGTTCGATTTATGGATTCCGTGATGAGGAACGTTCAAAACCCTATCGTAATCGATCAGAATTATTGCCCTCACAACGAAAATTGTCCCGGTCAGGTATTACAAAAGCCATATTTCTACTGTTAGAAGATAATGACAGGCATAGTTTAATTGGGTTTTTGTTCTATAACTTTGTCTCTAATTTGCTTATAATGATTATAGGTTTCGGGAGTAAAGATTAAAGATATCATGTATTCAGATATAAGAGGAACGTCATCGAGACCCGTAGCTATCAAATTGGATTGTAGTACGAAGAATCCGTTCACCGGAATAAAATTGCAGAACGTGAACTTGACATACATGAACAAAGCTGCTCAATCATTTTGCAGCAATGTGATCGGAAAAGCAGTTGATTTAGTTCAGCCTAATGGTTGTCTGTGAATCATGGGTTAGAGGATTTGCCCATTTGTCTTCTCAAAAAAAATATTATATTTTATAGGATGTGCAGCTTCTCTTACGGCTTTTTCTAAGATATTGGATTAATGTCTCTTACCTCTTCAAAACATGATTTTTTCTCTCACTCAATATTGTGACGCTCTCATCACGAGCCATCATCACAGTTTTCCATTGTCTATCATATCTATTGGGACATTTGGTGTAAAATTAGACAACTAAAAGATTATTATGATATCACTTATCATGAGATAAAAATATCTTTAGTATTTTGTGCGTGTTACATTTCTTAATCATTGTGGACGTTATTTCTCTTCTTTTGCTTTTACTTCCGCATCAATCTAAGCTTTCTCGTTTAGGTTTAAAGGCTGATTAAGACACATACACCAGTAAAAAAAAGGGTCTAATACAACATAAATTGCTAATAAGATTCTGACCCGTGACACTAATAAAAACTTAAGATAAAGTAATATATATATATATATATATATTTAAGTCCAATCTAATTTAAAATATATAAAAAAGGGGTTATTTGGATGTACCTAGGAATGGAAAGTGGGCGAGACAAGTCCGTTTAGCTATCTCATTCATTCCGCCTTGCCCAGGAAATTTGTGAAGTTCATAAAATATTCAAAGCAATCACAAATAAAAAAAATTAATTTATTAACTAAAAGAGAAAACGATAATAGTCGAGTAACCCAATAGTTGGATTTACCCAAAGTTTTGTGCATACCAGTTATTATCACTAAACCCGACCCCTGTATAGCCCCAAACCAAAATATCTATTTTTTCTGCAGTTGTCTAAAGTGGATATGGTTTTTACAAGCACTTTGCCTTGTAATTCTGTATCTCAAATCCAAAGACCATTTACAAGGAGCCATCTTCAACAACACCAGTGTGCCCCTCCATCATCACCTCCATTTCTCAAGCCTTCTTCTTTTTCTTCTTCGAACCATACTTATTCTCTCATTCAAGACTCTGCTGTCATTGCTTGCCTTCGTGCCAACAGGCAAAAAAAAAAACCTTCTCTTTCACTATTTTTTGCAACTCGGGTGCTTTTATTTCCATCACAGACATGATGGGTGTTCTTTATTTTGTCTGCTTTTTATGTCTGGACTGAGAATTTCCCCATTTTTTTATATGTTTATAGTGCTGAGCAAGCTATGGAAGCTGCTCGTGCTGCTGTTAACGGTGGTATTACAGTTGTAAGTCAAAGCTGAACTCTTTTGGATTTGACTTTGCTTTCTGATTTTCAGTTTACTGCAGATCTGAAACGTAGAATGGATTATAGTAGAACTTATGTTGAAACTTGTTCCTTCTCTTGATTTGCAGCTGGAAATTGTGAGATCAACTCCTGGTGTTTTTGAGGTTGTTTATAACTCCACTTCCCCCCTTAATTTTCTGCCCAAATTTGAGGTTTTAGATGGAAATTTATTTAGTTCTGTTCTCTTTTCTTTTCAGGTGTTGCAGGCTTTGGTTAATGAATATCCTACTATGGCCTTTGGTGTAATGATCTTACCATTTGGATATTAGTCACGAAAAACTATGTTATTCGAATAGGATATGAGTGTCGAATACGGTTATGTTCGATATATGTATGTTCACGGATATGAGTGGTAGATACGGATGTGTTCGATATATGTATGTTCACGGATATGAGTGTCGGATGGGCATGTCGAACATAGGCCTCCTGCCCTAGTAGGGTGTAAATGAGACGAGATAGATCGTGAATACTTGAGATCGATCGATCAAGGCTCGATAAATACTCGGATCGAATGGACTCGACTCGAGTTCTTAACGAGCCGAAATGAACTACTCGATATTCAACTCGAAAAGCTCGTGAGCAGTTCGAAAATATAATATATTAAGATTTTATTTTTAAAAAATAAATTATTAATAATATTAATATTTTATGTATTGATTTTTAAAAAAATACAGTAAGATTTCATGTATTTAAGGTTCATGATCGAGTTTGAGGCTTCAATCGAGTTAAGTTTAAGAATTTCTTTTTTTCATTTCGAGCTTTTCGAGCTGCTCACGAGTTTCAGTTCAGGATTTCGAGTTCGAGTCGAGCTTGAAAATTTTAAGCTCACGAGTCTTCGAGTCGAGTCGAGCTCTATTTCAGAGTTTTCAAGTCGAGTCGAGCTCAGCAATACTCGGCTCGTTTACACCCCTATGCTGTAGTCCGAGTAACATAGTTTGAATGACCTTCTGGAATTACTTCTGATGTGGGTAGAAATCTTGCAGGTTGGGACTGTTTTAACTGTTGAGGATGTCAAAGCTGCTATAAAGGCTGGAGCCAAGTTTCTTATGAGTCCTGCTACATTCAATGTATATGTCAAGAATTCTTGAATCCTTTATTCTGTGTTTCGAATTACTTCATTACTATGTTATCCTGGTTCTTCATCTTTCTCGAAAGATTGTGTCCGGCATATATTTGAAGATACCGAGATAACATAGTCTGTCGAATGCTATCCCAGTTCATTATTCCTAGCTTGTATTTCGAAGCTCAGTTTAAACTGCATGTATTACTTTTATGTTTCAAAAGGTCCATTATTGGTTTTTCCTTTTTTGTAATGTCAAACATTCTTACATGTTATCAGGACATTATAGATACTGTTCGAGATGCTGATGTGCTATATATACCTGGTGTAATGACCCCAACAGAGGTAAGAAAAAAACTACTTTTCACTTTTACTTTTAAGTCTTAGGCTTTTCTGTGACCCTGATTAGCTCATGCTACCATCGTGCGATAGCATCTGGTAAATTCGGAATTTGAATCCTAACATCTACACCGCTGTTCCAAACCCTATTCTAGATCTGGTATGTGTGTATATAAGATTGCACTAAATAAGGTTAGAGTTGTGATTTTTCAGATATTATCTGCTCATAATGCTGGTGCCAAGATTGTGAAGGTGAGTACATCGTATCCGACAATCACACCTAAGTACAGAGTAACATAATAACACACTAATATGTATATTCTCATGAAGGTTTTCACATTAATATGGTTAAACAGATTTATCCTGTATCGGCATTAGGTGGCGTACGGTACATATCAGCTATTATGAAGCCCTTTTCTCACATCCCCATGGTTGCTTCCCAGGGCATAACTATAGGTTAGTATGTTCCACTACCATGTTGTTTGCCATTTGAAAACTTAGATATTGCTTCGATGTTGCTTTTCTTTCCCTTGAAGCACTCGTATTCGAAATCTGTATTCCATACAATACAAGGATACGGCCCTTGTAGAACCTTCTGAATACATGAATCGAAGCATAGCAACTATGATGCATTTGTTTCTACGGTATCTGAATGAAATGATTTTCTTAAACTTGGTACAGATTCAGTAGGTGACTATATCGCTCGGGGAGCGATATCCGTCGTTTTATCGGATGCCATTTTCAGTAAAGAGGCAATGAACCAAAACAACTTCAATGCCGTAAATCAACTCGCCAAATCCGCAGCTTTGCAGGGCAAAAATGCTGTAGAAAGGTTAGCCTTTTTCTAATCTGTTCTTTATTAGCTTTGCTGCAAGTTCTTCCATTTCATTACTATTTGGTGTTGATGTTTCATTTTACTTAAAAGTATTAGGATCCGACACTTGTGTCCGACACAGATATGGTCCGGTTTTATTGAACTTTTCGATGTATTTGGACAATCCTAGAAGATCATATCCTCGTATCCAAGTGTTCAATCTTTTTAGAAGTTCATATCTTTATTCTCATGTCTAGTTATACATCGATCACGAATGTTTTAAGAAAAATGAAGAGTCGGAATAAGAAACGGCCAACACACTCAGCAATTTTCAGTTGCTGTATTTGTTTTATGTGATAGACTGATCAGGAACTTATGCAGAAGAAGAGGTAAAAGCGGCTGCAAAGGGATATGCCTTGAAATCATACAAAACAAACAGGTAAAACAGAGATCATCTTTTTGATGCGCTTGTCCATATGCACAACCTCGGACATTTCTGTAACGAAGCGTTCTAGTATTAGATATGTGTCGGGTACGAATATAGTTTTGACGCTACAAAATAAAATCGGACATTCGAGGACATGTCGAAAAGTTAAAATTGAAACCAGATCGTGGTCAAGACCCGTCTAGCATGGCGAGTTTTCTTTTTTCTTTTACTGCCAAAATATGTATTCAACAATGAGCAATTTCCACAAGCAATCCAAGGGAAAATCACTTGAAAGTGATGGTGAATGCATGTATTGAGATATTTCAAATATACTCGGAACTATAAATTATATTATTTAAGAGATTTTACTATATTAGAAGGATTCTCCGATGATAGTTCGATATCTAAATTTAAGATGATAAAAACATAAGTGGACATGTTTCACTTTGAAAGAATGAGTTGTATCATAGAAATCCTCAAGACAAACTATCATAATCAGATTCACAATGAAATTTGAGTTTATTGTCCTAGATAAAATTGGAGAAAAAACCGAATGATTATAATTTTTTTTGGAAGATATTCTAGAGTAACTAAAGCATGTGTCGACAATATGTATACATTGCAATAACCAAATAACGACTAGTAGTGTACAAAATATAATGTATAATAGTAAGTTGAGACATACATTATCAATATAACGCCTTTAAACAATTGACGTCAAATAAAATTATATGTATTAATTTTATAAAATCAAAAGTTAACGTTGCAGATTTACTAACCAAAGATTGAATCAAGATTAAGTTGATAAGAAATCGAAAAAAATGAGAATAAAACTCATGAATATTTAAGATGCTATGTGAAAGAAAATTTAACCTGATTGATTGAAGATCTCAAGATCTAGATTTAAAGAGACAACATACTTAGATAGAACTTGTGAAGTATTTGTGGGAGTTTTATCCCAAGTCCATCCTAGGATATAAACAATGATGAAAATAGAGAAAGGTTAGACAATACTTCTATTGTCTGTTGTGTGTTTAGTGGATCAAACAACATAAATTACTTATATGAAAGTGGAGTGGGACCGCTCTAAGAGACTAATGACGCATAATTCTCTATGTTTTTATAGAATCAGGAGATGTCTATGGTTATGTAAACATAACCTTGAGAACTAAAATTTTATCATCAAGGTAGTTTTCTAAAGTATATCATCATTTACATAAACAATAAAATAATTTAAGAACATCACATCTACTGGTTAGTTAGTAAAATAAATATACTTTCATAAGAGAATGTTCAAGGATTGATTCATACATATCTTATACAATTATCGATTGTAGATTTTATTACCTCATCTAGTTAATAGATTAATTAAATCGTTAATTTTATTCATGTGGAGAATTATTGGAAAAAAATTAATTTTTAAAAAAATTAGGCATATTTTCAATGGGTAGAATTGAAGATTTGAATAATAAAATCATGGTTTTATATTCTACTCTATGAAACCTTTATAACAATATATCATATGTTCAAAATGGTTAAGTGATGAATGAAAAATCGATGCTTAAAATAAGCTACTTGTAAATTCTATTGAGGAAAAATAGATATGCAGGATACCAAGTGTGGAGCGGGCTTCTACAGTTTCGTGGGTCTTTGTAAACGGCAGTGAGGGAAAAAATTAAGGAAAATAAACGATGCGAAGGGGCTAAAGGGTCTAAGACAAAAGTTTTAAGATTGTGGAGTTTTTAAAAACAAACACCATTAACACATAGAAATAACGGCGTTTATTGAAAAAAAGTCAATAACTATGTATCATATTGCGGAGTTTGTTAGAAAAACACCACAAAAAACAAGTCTATTATGGCGTTTTTTTAAAAACGCCGTCAATGTTATTATTTTGTGACGTTTAGATTTTAAAGTCGATATATGTGTAAACTTAGTGACGTTTCCTCTCAAAACGCCACTACAAACTTATTTTGTAGTAGTGAGGTTATATTTTCTTAACCGTATTTAGTGTTTACAGGGTTTATTTATTTAAAATCTTTCTTAATTAGCACGAACTAAGTGACCTCCGTGGTAAAAGAATTGTTGTTATTTCTTGAGGACCTGGATTCGAGCACCATAGATGCATGTGGTGTGAGCGTTTAATGTCAAAGGGTTGAGAGTGTTCTTTAAACAAATATTGCCTTGTACTTACCCCAAATTAATAAAAAAAAACTCTTTCTTAATTATTGATAATAAACTATACAAACATAATTACTCGAACCCAAAATCTTCAAGAAGAATCACACTCTAATTGATAAATGAATGATATTGATTTTATATTTTGTCATTAAATATTATTATTATTTAAATAAATATAACATAAAAAATACAAACAATATAGAATAAAGTACACAAGTGGTCTCCTATAATAGGGCATCGTTTTGTTGAGTCTTTTTTTTACTATTTTTTATTAATATGGAATGATTACATGTGGTAGTATATGTTCTAAACTCTCAACCATTTGACAATGAACGCTCAAATGCCCTGCAATCGCTAGTGCTAGAACCTGATACCTCTAGGGATAACAATTATCTCTTTAACCACTGAGGTCGCTAGGTTCGTGCTTGAGTCCCTTGACTAATAAAAGTTGCAAAATGGTCACCTGACTATATGGTGTTATTTTGTTGAGTCTCTCTACTATTGAAAGTTACAAATTTATCACTCAACTATTCATATATTTCAAACTCATTCTTTTTCACTAAAAAATTTAGTGATTGTCTGAGTTGGACGTTAACATATTGATTGGGATATGAGAAAACCATATTTTAATGATGTCTATTGGCACCGTTGTTTCTTTCAAACACTGTCTCGATGCATAATATTTCAAGTATTGATACGATGACATGATCTAAACAGAGAATCAATCCATAAAATACAACTTAATCAGCTTTGGGATCAGATTTTATCATATCTTAGTCTAAAGATTAATGTCTAACTCAAACAATAATTATTTTTAACAAAAAAGAATAAATTTAAAATATATAAATAATCAAATAATTTTTAATAATTACGAGACTCAATACTATAATATTCTATAATTAGAAGATTATTATATAACTTTTAATAATTAAATATTCAATAAAATGATTGATGAACCATTTGTATTATTTACCCAATAATTTACTCACATGCATATCATATGGACGTTTTTCCTAATATATCACCTATACCCTATATATTTCCATGTCAGGCATCATTCAGACTATTTTTCCCGATCTAACACCCTTTGCAGTAAGACGTTCCCCTGTAGCGCGTTTTACGGTGATCTGGCACCACGTGGGGTAAGGCGTGCCCCCTGCAGCGCGCCTTATGCTGACATGGACACACGTGTCTAAAGCGCGACCCTTGGGGCACGCCTTACGCCATGTGGGGCTATAGCGCGGGGCAGGGGCCACACTTTTCAATTATCACATGCTCAATTATCAGACATGCATAATGCAAGGCGCGGTGCAGGGACCGCGCATTGCATAATTTACCCGAACTTCTCGGCTTTAAAGCATTCTCTCTCATCTATATATAGCCCTCTCCCCGTAAACTATCTCACAATTCCCTCTCAACCGAGAAATTAATACAACAATCCTTTTAACCAGTAAATAACACCCGACAATCCTCTTATATTTGATTCAGAAGTTCATTCGATCTTTCGTTATAAGTTAATTTTGTTATAATATTTTTTTATTATACTTATTGTTTATTATGATTATTTGAAACAAATATTATACTAATTGTTTTCAATTAATTTCTATGCCAGTTCAAGGGGAAAGCGGGAGCATATGTCAAATTTTTTTTGCGATACATGTAATAATATAAAATTATATTATTTAAATTATTTACGTTTATGTGTAAAAAATTTATTGTGTTATATTTTCTTTCATATATTATTTATTTAAGCAGGTTTGTTTCAGTTTTTTTTGCAGATATAATATTTTCGCACTTTTAAACTCTAAGAATGGCGCGACTTTTAACTATTGTTATTATGATGGAGAAATTCGAGAAGATGAAACCGGCGTTGTTTTCGTATCAAATGAGCGTGTTAAAATATCATTCTGATAACGAAGATTTTGAGGAAGGTTCATGTTGGAAGTAGTAGAAGAATGTCGTCGTTGCAGTATAGATTTCCAACATCATTGTTGTCATTAACTTATACAGCGTTCGACTATCGAACAATGATGATGTTGAAATGATGGTTGATTATCAAAATAATTATTCAGACACCGATATTGAGATGTATGCAAAGTTTGTTCAAGTGCGTGCTGTTCGGGGTCAGTCATTAAACCCTAGATTAGTTGCAGATCTACAAAAAAAAATTGCTACATCAAATAGAATGTATGTAACAAGCTTCTCTAGAAGACGTGAAATGTTTCGTGTCACAGAGTTGTCGTGACCTCTTCAAGGGATTGAAGCTGTGTCGTTAAGAGTAAATCTACGGGACAGAACGTGCGATTGCGGGTTTTTTCAAGCTCTAAAGTATCCATGATCTCATGTGATAGCAGCTTGCTCGCATACACGTCAAGACTATAACTGTTTTGTGGATCTTGTATACCTACTATCTCAAGTTTTTAAGGTATACGAATTTGAGTCCCCCCATAGGTAATGACAAAGACCTTGATGAGGTTCAGGATTGGCTTCCAATTGTACCAAATCCAACTTTATTGAGGGAGCGTTGTCGTCCAATATCCAATCGAATTCATTGTGATATGGATATTCGAGAAATATCAAGACAAGACAGAAGATGTGGGCATTGAGAAACCCATGATGCACTAAAAAAACATGTTCACTTCTGCTGTCATCAAGTAACAATTGATGAGGAACTGATGTAGTTGTTTATCAAATAAGAATTCTTGTACTTTAATTTGCATTTACTTCAAGTTAATGTCATTCGATAACTGCTGATGAAGATTAAAAAAACGATACAAGAATATGAGATTGGACGTTGGCGTTATATGTGATTATAATAAAAGAGATAATAAGTGACAAACTGAAGAAAGTTATCAAACACAATTATTAAATTTTATCAAACTAATAACAATTTGGTATTTGAATATAATTTTAAATACAACAAACTTACAATAAGTATTAAATGGTAAATGATAAACAAATTACAATAACTGATTTAAATGGTAATAAACAAAATTAACCAAAATACATTAACAAAAAATCCAACAAATTTAACAAAATAAATTAAAATAAATCCAACCAAATTAATGAAATAC